GTTGCAGGTCTTTTAGTCTGAGGAGACACACTGATCTCTGAAGGAGACGAGGAGTCAGTAAGGAAAAGCAGAGGTCCTTTGAAAGATGCAGTAACAGAAGCACTGGAGTCCTCAGAAGGGCACCCTTCAGGAGAGGAAGGGGCAGGTGCCAATGCTGAGGTATAAGAAGTCCCATCAACTTTCTCTGCACTTTGAGGAGTCCCAGCTGGGGGGAGAGAGGGCGAGGGCACAGTCTTGGGAATCTCAGGGGCCAGCACCAAGGTAGCTGGAGAAGCAGAGGTATTCTGACGGGATAAGGTAACAGCTGGAGCCACAGGGCAACTTTCAGAGGCCGGAGGAACCAAAGGTAAAGTAGTAAGAACAGAAGTACCTGTCTTAGCTGGGTGGCTTTTAGGAACTAAAGAGACAGTTTTTTCTAGGGAAGGACTGGCTGTAGTTGTAAGAGTTGAGGTACCTTTGACAGTTGTGGGAGCCACCCCAGTAGGGTCAACACTTTCCAAAGGAAATGCAGCCACTGTTGGGGTAGTGGGAGAAATTTTGAGCAGATTAGCAGGGTCTGGGCTTGCACAAGGATCTGTCTTGATTACAAAGGTTGGGGAGTTATCACTCAGGGGGGAGAGAGCAGCACTGGCCAGCTTACCTACAGGGGGAGGCCTTACATGGCTTTTTTTTGCTAGGGAAGCTTCAGGAGAAAGAGCTGTCTCCAGAGAAGGTGATGTACTTAGGGAAGAGGGGAAATTTTTAGGGGCCGCAGGTGCCAGTGGTAGTAGAGTAGGGTCTTTCTTGATGGGACTTGATGAACTTGGAGGTAAGACACAAGCAGCAACCTCACAGATACTAGGTGCCACAGAAATTGTAGAGGGGTTAGTCATCACAAGTGGGGTGGTTCCAACAGAAGAAGCAGGAATTTGGGATACCAAAGGGTGATGAGCAGTAGCACTTGGAGAGCCTTGGAGAGTAAGAGAGGTTATAGGAGATAATGAAGAGGGATCTACATGTGGGGAGCCAGAAGGGCTGCAGGAGCTCACCCTGGTAATGGTAGAGGAGCCTTTGTCAACAGATAGAGCCTGAGGGGAAGCTGGAGCCACAACCGGAAGAGTAGCCACAGTAGCAGGAACTACCTCATTTCTGGAAGGAAGGGGAGGAATTACAGATCTCTGAGATGGGTAAGAGGAGGCTCCTGTGGAAGAATGGTCTACAGATATGGTATTCACTGCAGGGTCTGACAGAGCATTAAAACCTGCTTCACCTAAAGGTTGGACAGAAGAACTAAAAGAACTCTGATGTAAAGGTGCAAGATGAGAGCCCAGAGAAGAAGGGAAAACTGGAGGGATTTTGGGAGCCATAGTCTTTTGAGAAGCGGTCCCTATGGAAATAGACTGAGTTGGAAGAGATAAGGCAGCAGGCAGACCAACAGGGCTCTTTAGGCTGAGGCTTCCTGGGTTTTGTGGAGAAGTCAAAGCTGAGGAAATGGGAATACCTTTGACCCGAGGGGAAGTGATGGCTGGGGTAGTGGTGGGTGATGTCTGGGTACAGGAGGCTACTTTGGATTGAACGGAGGCCAATGGAGTTATAAGGTTGGAAGGAACAGCACTGACTTTACCTAGAGGACTGGGGGCACCTTTTGGATTTGGGGTTACCTGAGAGGAACCCTGAACTGGTTCTGAGGGGGCAATGGGAGTTGAAGGAGGCATCACTAAGCCTGACCCAGCGACAGTAACTGATGGAGGTGAAGTAAGAGGGTTAGGCAGAGAAGTGGAACTCTTCTGAATTGAGAGGGGAGCCAAAGCAACTAGAGCCAAGGGAGCTGGAGGAGACTGGGCCCCTTTCAGAGTTGGAGCAATCATGGGAGTAGCCAGAGCAAGGGCAGCTGGTGAGATGGGAGGCCCTATTAGGTTTGGTAGGAAAGTTGGGGTGCCAGGGATGGTTCCCAAAGGCAGGGCTGTTCCAGAGGGTGACTGGGGAAAAGGAACTTCAAAAGGGGTTGAGGCAGTAGTAGAGGGAGAAGGGAATGGGGAAGGCTGGTTAGCAGCTGCCAGAGGGCATTGTTGGGGGGCTGGGGAGGAAGGGGGGGGAAGGGTAGGTCCAGGCTGCCCCAAAGCAGCAGTGACACTCAAGGCTGAAGACATAGGTAGCACAGCTGGAGAAGAAAAGCAAAAAAGGAGATAAAGAAGGGAAAGGGGGAAAAAAAAAGGTGAGTTATACAGCCCAACTTGGTACAACATGCCTCATAGAAACACTGGAGTTTTAAATCTGAGAATGAAAGTCACCACACAGGATTAAACAAAGGTGACAGGCAATATCAACCTTCCCCCAAACATTTCTGGGGAAGTGAGAAGATATTCCGCTTCTAATCTCCCACACGCCCCAAACAAACCAACTCTTTTAGGGTGGGGATAACAGTTTAAGAGCAGTCTGTCTCTAAACGAGGAGCACAAGCCCGGGAGGGGCTTGGAAAACCATGCTCTTCACCCTTTTCCAGTTGGGCCTTTCCCTTGCTTGCTGAAATTCACCCATTCCCAAGTCTTTCTCACAGTCAATAGAATTTCCACTAAAAGAACAGCTGCGCTAGCTACCCTGCCTGCCCAAGCATCACGAACAAACTGAAACAGATATTGAAAACTAGAACAAGAAAGGCAGAGAACGATGATAATGATGAATGAGAAGAAACAGGGTTTTCTTCTCTCAGGCTTCCACTAGGCTAGGAGAAACCTGACTGTTGGAATAAAGTTTTAGGAAAGGGGCGTCCAACACAATACAGTTCTCCCTAAAGTTGAAACCCTTCAGAATTTAATACTAAGTATTAAGTACTGAGTTACTCAGCCTCCTTATATCTTACCAATGTTTATTATTCAACAAAACCCAAACCAACCAACCACAAATGGGTTGGAATCAACCTTCCAAGGTAATGTTAGCTCTTCAGACAGCAGTCCAAGATTAATCAGAACTCCAGGGAGAGAGCTTAGTCACAGGGTAGGCACTGTACTATGAAACTGTAACGTAACTTGTTAAACCAGACTGTGGTTCTATTTCAGAAGCAGAGAACTAGAGTGGAGAGAATACACTGGATCCCCACTCAATATGGATAAGTATTTCATTCTGTCAAAACAGACCAATATTTGCACAATAGTAAAAGTCTTTCTGAATGATGGGAAAAATATCATGCCTATCATTTAGGAGATGATATAAGATTAGATCAACAAATGCTCAATGTCAGCCAGGCATGGTGGCTCAAGCCTGTAATCCCAGCACTTTGAGAGGCCGAGGTGAGAGGACTGCCTGAGACCAGGGATTTGAGACCAGCCGGGCATGGTGGCACATGCCAGAAGTTCCAGGTACTTGGAAGGTTGAGGCAGAAGGATCACCTGAGCCCAGCAGATCGAGGCTGCAGTGGCCATGAGCAGCGTCCACTGCACTCCAGCCTGGGTGACAGAGTGAGACTCTGATTCAAAAAGGGGGAGGGGGAAACTCAATGACTAGAAAAATTTTAAAAAAACAATCCCACAGCATCCAAACCCATAATCCACTCAATCAGTAATTCTGAGGTTCTTATAGTATTCTACTACAGAAAAGACAGGTGGCTCAATCAGAGTTTGTCAGTTAAGGCCTTACAGAGCAAATACTTTCAAATATGTTAACAATAACTTAAAACACGGAGTACCTTTTCTTATGACTGAACCTCAGGATGTATTAAGGCCCTAGTTACTTGCTGTGACATCATAACCAATTCCCTAAGCTAGCTTCTTCACTCATTCTAATAGACTAGTTATATGCAAAATCCTGAGTGTTTGTCACTGGTACTACCTTAACATAAACCTACCATACAACATATTCAACATATTAATGGATATGTTCATAGATCCATAAGCAAACAGTCTTAGTTTTGAAGCTTCCATCAGATTATTCTAAATTCATCTGAATTTCAAGTCTCCACATTTGTAAAATTAAGTTGTTCAATGGCAATCTCTAAAATCTTGGTGGACACAGAAATTACAGGATCTTTAGAGACCAGGCCTTAATTTTTTCCTTTACCTAAGCCCCTTGCACTTTAAGGATTTCATATTGCTCACACTGAGGCTCAGAGCCCCTCCTTTTTTTCCTAGCAGCTGTATTAATCCCTTCAGCTGCTAAAATCAGACAGGTGAGGAGAATCTTAATACTTTCAACTACAAACAACTCCAAAATTTTAACTCCAAATGGGGACAGAAACTGACTGTAAGGACGGAGATTGTAACCTTAAGATTTCCTTCATTTAGCTTTGCACAACTAAAACTAAATTTTTTTTCACTACCTCCTCTTATGTGTTCTACAGAGATGTGTTTTAACCAGAATCAAAAACTTGCCTTCACACTGTATTCTACAACCACTAATTTCAACGTTGAGGATCAACAACAATTTTTTTCAATTCTGGGTTCTAGACAATGACATGGGCACTGTTCCAGCACACTAGAGATATCTCAGTACCAACTCCTAAAACAAGTTAACCGACTAAGGAGGACTGCGGGGCCCAATAGGACACATTCACCACCAGCACACATCTCATCCAGACATGTGATGAGGGCACAACGCCAAGCTCTGCTATCTAAAACCTTGATGCAACTTGCTGGCTGAGACTTCACAAATGCTCAGGTCTCCTTGGTCTGCCTATGTATCATCTTGTTCCAGTAGGTAAGAATCGCTGAGCCCCTTCCTTGCTCAGTTTACCTATGTGAGGTGGGGGTTACACAGAAGAGCTTCTTTTGAGTAGGCGTAACACAAAGCAGGCTAGGGAACTTTTAATGCCCACGAATCTTAAAAAACATTATTTCTATTTCACCCCCGCCAGAAGTTCCTCCAGGATAGTTTGATGATCTATCCTTCCCTTACAACTGCAACCTTATCCTCTTTAAAGGCAGTTCACTCTAAAAGGTAAAGCGTATTTCTTCTTGGTCGCTTTACCCACCAAACGGCCTTAGTTAGGGTCAATCTTAACGAATGGCAAGGCGGCTAGAGAAACCTACCTGTCTCAGCCTGGGGCTGTGGCAACTCCTGCTCGGTAGCAGGCACGGTTTCTGTGGCTTCACCGGGCATTTCTGAAGGAAGGAAATAAAAAGGCGGCCTGAATCGACCCGGATACTTATCCAACCCAGAGTCAAGCACTTCTGAAATCTCTGCGAATGGCTGTCACAAAAAATCGCCAGTGTTTGGAGACAACCCTCCCTATTGCGATAGGGAACAGACGGGAAATAAGATGCGACCCTCAAGTGCCTGTCGCGCGAATCCTCTCTTACCGAGCCTCTTCCCTCGGCCGAGAGCAGACTTCCCAGTGCCCAGGATTCGTTCTATTCCACACTCCGAATCCCAGAGCCAGCAATCACCACTACGTCCTCAACCCGAGGAAGAAGATCCCGGCCTGGCTCCCGACCAGCGGGGGCTTCAGATGCTACTTCGAGCTCCTCCCCTCCTGACATTCACACCGCCTGGACTGGAGCCTCCAGACTGTCGTTTGCCGACTTTTGGGAACAGGAAGGCAAAGAAGGTGCCTTAAGTCCCAACGCTTGCTTGTCACAATTAGAAGGGGGTTCTAAGGCTGTGACCCTTTAACCTCCCACGGATCTCATGAAGCCGTTCTGGACGACTGACGCACTCTGCTTTCGCCCCCAACACCGCAGCTATCCTTTCTCTTCTTAGGCCTGGATGCCCGGCGCGGTCCGGACCGCAGCCCTACTGCTCCGCTTTTGCCAGGACACCAGCCGCAGACCCCATTTTGTCCCAAGGCCCAGGGGCGAGCAATAACCCTGTGGCCCCATAAAGCCTCCAACTCTCCTTAACTCTCAGTTCCCGGAGCGGCTTAGCCCGAAAAAAGGCGGATGGTTGCGGATAGAGTAGCGGCACCGAAAGCACTTACTGTCCAGGGAACGCGGAACCAAGATGGCGGCAAAAAGAGAGCAAACGAGAGCGTGACCCACGCCTGTTGCAGAAGGAAGCCTGAGGCGGAGGGGGCGGGACCGGAATCCGCTTCCGGGTCAAGAGCTGCCGGCAGTCACTTCCTTTAACGAATGACCCGTCGGGCTAATCCCTGGGCGGGGGTGGTGACCAGGTCTAAATATGGGTAAGAATTCAGAACAGGACGCGCTGGCCTGGCAGGAATTCTGCGCGCGGAGAACGCAGTCTTGGGACAGCCGACCTGCGAGCAACCGTGAACCAAGCTCCGCCCTCCGACCTGCGAGGTCGCGACGGCGGTATTTAGGCGACTTCCCGATTTCCCTTTCTCAAACAGTGCAGGAAAATAGGAGACATTAAGTTACAGTGAACGCCAGAGATTGTATTCATAACATTGGAAGGTGAAGGTGACCTAGGCTAGTACCCAATCATTTTATTCTTGGAATACACGATGTGAAGATAAAATTTGAAACCGTTGGAATCCCCCCAAACACTTCAAGCCGTGAGAGATGTGACTGTAATCGGAGTCACATATAGTTACTTTTCACAGATTATAAGATTAACTCCCATTGTTTTTTCTTTTTGGTTCTATGCAATGACTAGAGAAATTGTATCAGAGACAAAAACCTCCTGTCTTCTTAATGAATGATGACCCTGGTTGTAGATTAACCTCCCCTTTGTTATCCTGTTTTGCTTAGGCCAGATGACAGAAACCCCAAGACCATTACACCCTCTGGAAAAAACAAAACAAAACTGCTCTCTGCCTTTATACGTGCAATCTTTCCTACTTCAGAAGGCTGACTCCATTCTCTTGCGTTTCTGGGTGGTCCATCCTTATACTTTGCCATGGAATAAACTTTTTTTTTTGAGTTGGAGTCTCACTCTGTCGCCCAGACTGGAGTGCAGTGGCCGTTCCCGGCCACCACAGCCTCGGCCTGATGGGCTCCGACGATCTTTCCGCCCCAGCCTTAGAGTGGCCAGAACTACCCGCGCACGCTACCACGCCCGGCTAATTTTTGATTTATTGTACAGATGAGGTCTCGCCAAGTTGCCTGGGCGAGTCTCAAACCCACAGGCTCAGGCAATCCACTCACCTCAGCCTCCCAA